GGCACAAAACCTTTCAACATAGTATAAAGTTGTATTTGATTCTCCATCTCTTCTGTAAGGCAGTGCCAGTGTTTGCATCCCTCTTTTTATTCATATTACCTGCAGCTTGGTCTTCCCTTTGTGATTGCTTTCTTGCCCAGTCTTGCAAGTTCTCGTGCAACATGAAGACAATCTGTGCCAGTCTATCTTGCCAAAGTATGTGTTTAGCAAAGACGAGACGTAGAAACAAGTGTTTGACTTGTAAATCAGGAGGCCCTGGATCACACAAGGAGTGCTGCTCCAATTTCCACACATCTGAAATGTCAAGGCAATGCCAACAAACTGCAAATATTTATTTTTTTATTCAAGATAATGCTCTTCTGGTGTCCTAAATCTAAGATTGGCTTGGCCACAAATGAACTTTTTTCAGCTGATTTTGGGGCTTGCTCTGAGCACCACAGTGAATGGGCTCACAATTTGGTCCACTTTTGGTTTAAGTGCTGTTAGATGTGTCTGTACCAGAGAGGTGTAACAGATTTGTGGTTAGTGTGAGCCATCCATCCATCCATCCATCCATCCATGTCTTTTACTAAAGCAGTATTGGCAATAAAGAAGGTGTATGTATAGTGACGGGTCAAACTGTCAAAAATGGCAAAAAGAACTACTAAAAATACAAAGTACGTTTCATTCTGGAAAAGTAATATATTAATGGTAATTTATTTTATAAACATTGTTTTATAATTTACATAAAATAAGGAAATTGTTTTTTGTTTAAGTCATTATTGAACTCATTACTGTGAAACAAAACAGAAGAACTTACTGTTAGTACATTTTAGATGAAGGTGGGATTAAATAATTTTGTACTTCTTCCCACTCAGTTTCCAAATATGTTTCAAATAGTTTATTCTTGTTACTTTTGTTTTGTTTTTGTTCTTATACGTTTGAAAATCAACTAAATGAAACAAAAAAGATGAACTAAACCAAAGTTGACTTTGATCCATTTTCCTGTTCATGTTCTGCGTCTCAGTGAGTAGGTGCCACTGGGTGAGGGTCCATCACAGGCAACATAAAGCTGACCTTTAAATAGTGAAAGGTAATAATGTGTCCTCACTGGGCTTGTCTTTTGAATACTGCTGCTAACATTCAAGATGTTGCCAGTTCCACGGTGGTTACAAGTTGTTTAAAATAAACTGGATCATCTGCAGCCTGTTGTTAACTGGACTGTTAAAATTACAGCTGTTTTCAGGACCCCAAGCATCATATATATGTTTTTTTATTCATTGTCATAGTCATATTATCTTTAGTTTTGCTGAACTTAGATGTTTCTGTAGCAAAACCAGTTTATGAATTGTTTTGAAAACTGAATAATTCAAACAAAAAATATGTCCAAACTGAAGACAAGGTGCACCTCATTATGTAGTAAGTCTGTGGATAAATGAGTATATTAAAAAATGTAAATATATTCTGATAATAAAATGAGGTAAATTACTTTCTTCTTTAATCCTGTTCTGCATCCTCTCACACATTTCACACAATCATCCACATTTGCTATAAATACCCTGTTTCATGCTGTGACTTAAACAGAAGATTCCAGCAACCTCTAAGAGAGGCCTTTAATTGTTGCTGATAAATACAGACATAGTCCTCTAGTTCTACACAATCCTGCTCGTCTAACGTTAGCGGAGGCTATGGTTGGTAAACAACACCTTTTATTGAGTTCACATTTACAGGTTTATCCCAAGGCTGAGTACACATTATTTACATGTACTGTGCATAGAAAGTACAAAAATGAAAAGTTTATTCCATATATTTCTTTAAAGTTATGAAGTGTACACACACACATATATGAGTGTGCGGGGATTACACAAAGCATTTACAAATCTAGAATCCCAAGTTTGATATCTGTTTAAATTAAATCTTTCTATACCAGCTGCTGAACTATTAAAAAGCCGAAGTTTGTCCAGTTTTAGCCGAGATGTCTTTTGCTTGCATATAGTTTTACATACCTGCATGTCCTCCAAATCTAACTAAACCAACAACTCATGCAGATGTTAATTTAAAAGCAGCCTAAAGTTATTTATATTTTCCTATTTTTGGATGTATGAATAGCTGGCATTCATAAATGGTGTGGTATTCCTCAAAGATCTTTTGTCTGATTCAGAGTCAGAAAGAAATGAATCTGTCTTTATACTTTAAAACAATTAATTTAGTGTTTTCTCTTTCCAGAGCTGAATGCTGTCTGACCCATATACAGCAATGAACCCTAAACTTTGAGGCTGAAACAAAACATGTGCCTTTTATGAGCTGGTTTCAATAAAAGTAAAGTTCATGTCAACAAATGGACGTCCACTTGAACAAATACCTCAGATATTTTGAAACTGTGACTTTTTTGATTTCTGAAGGTTTTCCATCCACCCACCCTTACACACTTCTTCCTTTTCATGTTGCGGGGGTCACTGCTGCCAATAAAATTGGAATGAATACTTGCATTTGCAGTAAGTTTATTTGACTTACGGCTGGGAGTGATCAGCTTTTGATTTTAAATCAACAACTGGGGGAGCAAAACCATAACTTTGCATCCTTGATTTATAAAAATGGCAGTGCAGTTGCTCAACTTCATGCACAAATAGAAGGAATGCCAGCAGGATGTTTTATTACAGACAAAACAAAGAATATAAAGGTAAAATAAATGTTTTCTGGATGTTTCAGCTCTTGCTTGTCTTTAATGATGGGCCAGAGTCGAATGCAACAAATTCACTGCGATTCTAAACAATCTGTTAAAGGTGTCATGAATCTGGTCGTCTGTTGAATTTTTGAACATAAAGCCCAAAGCCATAACTTAAACTCACTGCTTGCATTTATGGGTAAGTATCTATTGCTAAGAACAAAGCTAAGGTCCCACAGCTTCTTCTTTTTTCTCCATGTCGAGCAATGCACTGACAAACACAAAAACACTTCCCCTCTCCCCATTCAGGGCGGATGAGTACGTTGGTTGCCTTGGAAACACTTCAGTCCGGATAATTATTACTGTAACTGTCTCTGCACACCCCACCTATAATGGAAATGGATCATAAATTATATTCACTGAGTGGCAGCCTTCTATTGGGACTCACTGCTGCCACCCACTGGGAAGCAGAAAAACTGCAAGCCAACATGAAGTCTGCCTGCACTGACAGTGAAAACTCATGCACACTTTTTTACGTGTTTTCTCTGTTCTTGATGAATTTTCACAGTGAAAGTTAAACCCAGCTGACAATAACAATAATCTAAAAACATTAATAGCAGGATGGAAATATGGCATCATGCTGGATCTGTTTAAATATTTACAAAGGCCTATTCCCATGGCCCGATGGTAAGTAATCAAAAAACAATTAAATATTCTTTCCGTTTGAAAGTCACATTTTTGTTTGTTTTTAAAAGAAAATAATTCAGTGCCTTATAAAGAAGTAGTTTGGGGTTGAGGAGTAATTGGAAAGTGAGCGCCCTACTTTTTCTCTCCCCCTTTGTGAGAACTGGGAAGGAACAACCAAAATAAAAAAAAATAAAAAAACAGAGGCAAAATGAATAAACAAATAAAAACATAGAATAAAGTAGGAGAATGAATATACACTTGGAGCCAACGGAAACGCAGTGATTGCCTTGGCTGTGTATTTATCATGGCCTTTGTTTAGAAGTCCAGAAACATGATGAGATTTTAGCCTTCGGTTTGGTCGCTGTAAGACGCAGTTTCGTGCTCAGACTTCGACAGAAGCATTTCTTTTACTCTGTTTTTCTGTCTTTGCTTTTGTGGCAAACACGTGAAACCATTCATCATTTTCACACCTTTATAACAGTTACCTGCCTGTACACTAGCTGCTAAAAAGCTGTTTTTAATTCAGCTTTTTCCTATGAAGTGCCTTCTGATAGGAGACGAGTCTGCAGCGGAGGTCTTCACCGCGCTGCCAATTACTGGTGAGCTGCAACCGCCTTAAATCAGCTTCCACTTATAAACATAACTTCAACCACAGCGGTCAGATTACTGAAAGACAGCAAGTTTAAAAGCCAAACCTCAACAGAAATTCAGGTTTCATATCTGGTGTCGACTCCGTTCACCTCTTCTGTTTTAAAATGAGATGCGGCAGCATTTTACTTCCTGCAGTTGCTCGCGGGCGAGCGGCAAAGTTTCACACTGTTCAAATGACCTCAGCATTGCGATTGTAACTCTGCAGAAAGCTTGGCAATAAAACCTTTTAATCATCAATTGTTGTTTCTGCTGAAATCCCAATCCTTTTTTTTTTTTTTCAAAGAACAGACAGCATCTTGCATACGCACGCACACACACAAACACAATTATACCCAATTCTGCTCTTTCAAAATAAAGAAGAAGAAA